CCCTAGCCCACTAAATTTTATCTTCTTCCTCCATTCCAGCTTCATTTGTCCAAATTTCCCATCTAAATCGTTCTTAAGCTTCGTGTGACCTATCTCTTATCTTGGTCTTCCTATTAACAATCAAAATTCTTAAGTTATTTTAAATCCTTATTAGAGTATAGAAGAGGGTTTGAGGGAAGTACAAATAAATATAAAGAAAAGTTATTCTCAAATGAATGTATGGTTATAAAATCCTGATAGAAGCTGGTTATGAAATAGAATGGTCGCAATATTAGCATTATGTCAATTATGGTAAATTACTAATTGCATTTGGACCCTTTATCTGGATCTTACTTAGCTCTTATTTTGGCAAATATTTATCTGACAAAATTTGAGGAGAATTCAACTAGTAGTGACCCAAAATATTTTGGTTGAATATATACGATTTTTCATTTGGCAGCGTGGCAGATATAATTTGTATCACGATGGTAGCGTAACTTGTCTGTTAGCAACCTCATTTCACGGTATAGATTTAGCTTTACCCCGTTTTTGAACTTGGTCGAGGTGTCAAGGAGATCCGGAGAAAAGTATCAAATCTTTAGTACTTTGCCATTGTTGTCATGTCTTCTTCCAGGATTGGACCGTTGAATCGGTAAATTTCCATAAATTTCTCTGGCGTCAAGGTCGACATCCTTAATGATAATCATCTTTTTTTGGCGTCAGGCTTCATTCCATCAATGTACCACTGAAATGCAATCCTAATGACCAATTATACGAATTATGGGTCTTTACGGAGGCCGAAATAGCTCAAAAGGCTAAGGCTGAAAAATATCGTTACTACAATAGCAGATGAAGCAGGACTGGCTACGTTCTTCGAGGTTTCTCTGATACCACGGCCAAATTACGAAAAGGACGTCAAACCGACGTTGTGCAGCCAGACAAAGTTGCGAAAAAAAACAGAAAATAGAATACAAGCGTAGATAGGAGGATAACTATGTAATTAACTCTGCTTTGGCCTCAGTCTAATTTCGCTCTACAGGAATGGTTTCACCTCGTTTTCGCAAGTTTGTCGTTTTGTCAGGGGGGCCTAGATGAACAAATCTTGTTTGAAGTCTTGTGCCATAGTAATTATGATAGTTCTCAGTGTCTGGCCGCAGACTTGTTACATTGTCAGACGCTCCTCCGTTATTGTAGTCGGCATTGACAGTTAGTATTGCTAGCATAAGGGACACGATACAACGCCTGAAAGATACAAGCTGTCGAGTCATGTTTCTCTGGGGATCTTTAGCTAAGAATGGAAAGACTCATTGACGATGCCGAATACGACGCTGGAAAAATATCTGGGAATTCCATGGTCAAATGCAGGGACTTATTATAACTACGATGGAGGAAGACAACAGAAATGTGCTTTCATCTAGGCCTGACAACACAACGAAATTGCGAAAAAAAGGTCAGACCACTTCGAAAGAACATAAGGCTTGGTTGAGCTAAATTTGATCGTCATGTGCTTATTTCCTGTCGGCTAGATGATAAATAGCAAGGAAACATTTGACCTACAACGGAAGAAACACGTGGTCAGAATGAGCCCCGAATCTATCATCTTTAAATAACTGCCACACGGCCGACCATCGGTTTGAAGTGACTGACATAACTTTTGGCAGGCATTCCGAATGGAAATGCATTGGACTGCAACTGCAGTCCAATTTAGAAGAAAATTGCCCTTTTTTGTATATGACGTTTTCAGTTCCAGTTCGGAGTTGAACCTTCACTCCAATTTAATGGGCGCATCACAATTAAATGAGTCCAAAATCTCCCCTGGTTGGCTTTTCATTCGGCCTGGACCGTAATTTCAATGCCAAGCAGGCTTCGAATATGGCGGATATGTGACCTTAGAAACACGATACCACTCGGCGACACATTCCAAATGCCGCTGAGCCAAGAAAGTTATAAATTTCAATGCTTCCTCCAAATCAGATTCCCCATAGGCAAACTTGTCTTTTTCATCACAATCGATGATACTACTCTCTATACAGTTTATAGGCTGCGATACTATTTTATATCGTTGATAAAACTCGAATCAGCTAAGTCAACCTAATCAGACGGCTGTCCGGTCGTAGACAAAGCAAGCGAACAGACTGTGCCCCAGACGAATAATGCGCAAACTTCTGTATCCCGACGAGGCCAACTTCTAGCAGAGAGTTACAGGCCTGAGGTGAAGAATACTGGGAAATTCCATGGACGCATCCTCGAAAAAGAAAATGTGTTGTCCTTGTGGATTGGGTCCCTGATTCTGTGCTTGGATTTAAGAGTCGAGGCGATGAAAGCGCGAAAGGAGTTGAGACGTTGAGATCTGATGAATTGGCGAACTTATATTCGTTTTAAGTAGATTACAATAAAACATCTCTCATTGAAAAACTGACAAGCTGAATAAGTGACGAACTTACGAACTGAAGAAGCTGATGAAATTACGAACTGACGAACTGACGAACCAGTTTCAACTTCGGTTTGGCTTCGTCGGCCCGTGTTCAGGACGCTCTGCTTGAGAGGTGCCCCAAAGTGGGCACGTCTGCGATCAATTTGGCCGAACTGACATGATCTCATCATTCTTTGTTGATAGACTGATCAGGCGCGCACGAAAGAGAGTGTGAGAGAGAAATAGATAGAAACAAAGCAATTGGTGGACTTGAAAAATGTTGAGTCTCAGATGAACGTTATTTAAAATTCATGGAAGTGATCGATGAAGTGCTTCAGCGAGCGATGCATCTTGACTCGGGAGATTTGCCTAGAACTTTGACGCTTGAACGGCGTTTTCCGCGGTGGAGATATTGGTGGCAAATACCAGTCACGTTTTCCAACTTTCCTCCGAATTGTTTGAATTCTTGTTTGTTTAAATAATTTTTCGTGTCCACTTGTCCTCTAGCTTGGTGCCCGATCGTCCAATATTGCGTCTTTGTTACTCCATCACCTCACCTGAAATATGTGGTATTTTTCAGATAGCCCGACTGCTAGATAATGCAATGATGAATACTGATGAGCCGTGAAGGGATAAGATGAGAGTTGTTCACATTCCTTCTTGCGGCGCGTTCGCAACATGCGTAAAAGTCTCTCACTGACAAGAACTACATGGTTCGTGTTATCCGAATCGCGGCCAGATCTAGGATACATCAACCTGAGGCCTTGCAACAGCGCGTCGGATTCGACATTCTCAAGAGTATGGATCTACTTCCTGCCTAAGGTTAGTCGGGCAGAAGAGGTATCCCACCAGATTGTATTGTGAAGAGCATGGCAGTTTCTGCATCCACAGCAGTGCTATAGGTCCCTCGGAGTCTGGGGATGGCACTGATTGTATTCCGACGTCTGTATACGTGGCTCAGAAGCTGTCTATTCTCAAGTGTGGAGACCCTAATATGGTCGCCAGTCGGTTTGATGACGATTACTTAATAGACCAAAAGATGAAACTCGTTGATTTGGGAAGGAAACATCTTTTATAGCATAGCTCAGATATTTTAGTTTAGCAAATAAAAATGCTTGGTTTAGATAGTATATTAATTTAAAATTGTTAAACTCACTTCCATTTTGAATCAAAGTGTAGCTTTAGGTCGGATTCTGGAAATTCTCATGATCAATGAGACAGGAGGCAGGATTGCTTACCATTTATTGGGTCCCTATATCCCCTGGGCTAAGTTGAACACACGATCTCATATCAGCTAATTATTTTAATTTTAACTTTTTCAAATCGAATAGAGCCTGATGAAGCTTGCCTTGAATCTGACTTATCATTAGGGTAGTTTTAGGCTTTTGAGCAAAAGGTTGAGCGCCGTAGTATGAAACTATATGACTGACAAGGTGGTCCCAGATGGCTCACTGCCTTCACCCTGCAGAATGTTCCACAGGGACAGTCCGTAGCCTTCGACGATGGTGGGATTGTATTAGGTAAATAAGAATGTGTCGCTATACATCACATGGTCGCCTGAGCAGAGTTAACTCACCACTAATCATCAAAATGTCAAAAGCTTCAAATTTGTAGTTAACTGCCAATCTGGATAGGCGACAAACCCTCGAAGTTATATTTGATTATTATTATAAATAAAAAACGGAGATTGTGGCTTTTATTACGTGTTTAGGTGTCTGACGAGAAGATTTAGCTGTTCGATCTCACTACAAAACGGTGACTGGTTCCCGTTGCTCCGCAGTCGCTTTATACTTTTTGACTCTCAGGTTTGTGCATTCCACGAGACAGTCTCTTTCAGGCCCGATTAAAATGTATTGAGTACATTCATACGCCTTGACGAATATTCTAGGATCTCTCTATATAGATACTTTAAGTAGAGAAAACTGACTGAGCCTTTTTCACATTCTATAATTACTCGCAATACCAGCAAAAATAGAAGTGAATATATATGGATATATGTATACATATAGAACTAACCAGGTTATATAAGTATATTTAAGTAATTTATCGTTGCTGTTACGAGCATGTATAGCAAGTGTGGTCAAGTCTATTGGTATTCCTGACTTAGTATTTTTAACTTGATGTAGTTGCAGGAACATGACCAGTCCATGAAAATGTCTGTCAGAGTGCAGGTAATCATGGATGAGAATACCTTTTTGGAGGAAAAGATACGTAAACTTAATGGTATGGTGAGGCCTATTCATTTTATTACCACCTATCTCTATCTATTTATGCTGTCTAGAGTGACTGCAGCTCTTACTCAAGATCTACTGATAATATTTAAAATTAATTGTGTATATGTGTGATCATGCAGGCTGATTTACCACAAAATGTCTGAATTCATTGATCGACAGCACCCAAATTTCATGCAATTACTGATCCAAATTGTAATTTCAAGTCCATGAATTCCTCCAGGCTAAATATACCTGCACGGAAAGAACATCATAAGGCCCAGTCACGTCAGTACTATCAATTCTTTGGTGTGGTTTGGTAAAGCTATAGCTTCAATTGATTCTAAAAGAAGCTTTGCATGGAATCGGTCAGCCTAATAAGCTCAAGTAGGCGGAATCATATAAACAATTAAGATTATTCCCTGAAATAATAACGGTAAAGTAGGTTTACTATAAAAAGATCCGACAGTAATGATGCTCAGTAACAGACATCCTCTGTCTACTTACTTCGGTTTTAGCTAGGATTCAGATTTCGAGTAGTCATAACTATCTCGGGGTGGCCGGATTCAAACAAGTGATAGAATCTTTCTTAGGATTTCGCTTTGATTAAGACCCTGGTGTAATTTTTATGAAAATTGAGTGCACTGGCGGGAAAGATATAACTCACATATTATGCATAATTTTAATAAATCCTGGTCCAAGCTTGGAATGGACGCTAAGAAAGTCATACTTTGCTATAGTTGTAAGTAATAATTCGGTATACTAAGCAGACCGGAAATATCTGGAAGATGTTCCTTTCAAAGGCATAAAGACCAAGATGGTGTTACCTTTTGTATGGTTACAGTCTCCTTTCTTTGTGTAGAAGTTGTTTGACCTTGTGTTTGTAATTAGGTCATATTGGTAGGAAGACTTAGAGGAGCGCACCTAGTCCGGAGTCCATAGTATGCATGATAATTTCCGAAGTCGGACCGCGAACTTGGTACATTTCCAGACGTTTCGCCAGCATCGTAGTCGGCATCGTCAGTGACCATTGCCAGTCTTAGCACCAGACTACAACTCGTCAAAGAGACAAGTGAAGCTGATCCTTTGACCAATTGTCTGCCAAAAAATCGAGTTTCTCTCCTTTCGCACTGGGCTAATCACCAATTGTATATCCTCGTATCATGCCTTCACAACCACTATTTTCTTTTTTCCTTGCTTGTTTAAATGCAGTGTGGTGTGCCCTTTTGAGCGGTTCTCATGACAACTCTCCGCACTCCACTCTGCTGGGAATGTTGATTAGAGTATGCCATATTATTTTCGCAGTTCTTCTCCCATAGGTCTTATCAGAGTCTCCCTCTTGCCCCGTAGGACTCGTCTGATAGCTCCCTGGTTAAAGTATTTCACTCGAACCCTGCAACTCTATTTGTGCTACCCGATGCGTTATTTCCTACGCTCTGCATCTGGGAGACTAACTTGAGTCTAAAGACCCCGAGTAATTCTCATGGTCGCGTCTCATGGACCACAGCTATAAAAAGACACGTCTTCTGTTAGCCAATTAGCTCTTGCCTCCGCAGCATCTATCGTACTTCGATCTTAGTGCAAAGTCTAAAACTTCCTCTTGTGTTCCAACCAACAAATGTTGTGCTTCTACATTGAAACTAATCAAAACAAGTTTGTGTTCCTTTGTTCGTAAACTTTATCCCTCATCAGCTGCAGAGGCACTGCGACGTCTGGTGGCTAGCACTGGGTTTCCCAGCTTCGAGCCAGCCCCTTCATCCCTTTTGACATTGCCGGGGTGCTCCAGCACCGTGGGCTACTCCATTTCTCCCCAACAGTCCAGGACGCTAGGACGGAGCCAGATGGTCCCTTCAACTTCCACCACCGTTCCTACTTCTCAACTAGCTTCTCAGGGTTCGCCTAGTCAGATAATATACTCTGAAGACTCTGGTGGCACTGGTCTACAGGCCCAACTGACCTGCGAATCCTCAGAGCCAGTTTCAGATGTAAACATGCAAAATACCCACGAAATCATTACTCGGCTTCCATTACCGAGGAGTTTGGGTGATCTGCCCGTGCTATCTTCAGCTTGTGTAACCAATAGGGATACTCCTTATGAGGCGCATCAACCCCACTCCCAGATGCCGAATATTTTATATTCTGACTCTACAGACCAGAAAATTCGAGCCTTGTATGGCCTTAGTTCATCACCAAGAATGCCGAGGCAACCTGGCCAGCAGACCGGCCTGGAGTCCAGCATCAAACTAGTCGACTCAGAATTCAGAGAGGAGGATACCCAAAGGGTGATAACATTGACTCGGGGAGCTGATTGTTCCTTGCCGGGTCAGCTCAGTCCTGTTCGGGCAGAGAGCATAACAGGGGCATGCCCATGCGGATCAAGGCATCCTATTACAGAGGCAGGGGCGTTTTCCAGTAGCCAAAAGATACGAGCACATGCGACCTCCTCTTGTCAAGGTCCATCCAGAATCTCGGCCGGTAAGGAGGTCTGGTCTCCCGGATCATGGATTCTGCGCGAGACAAAGGGCAAAGAGGCTGTTAAAGCAAGTGGCGGCTGTACTCCGTGGCTGACCAGCCACCAGACAAGAAATATGAGTCCGCTTCTGTCCGGGAATGGGGCCGGTGCTGAGGAAACGGGTGATTTGACGAGTAAGTATAGGCTCGTGTAAGATGGCAACTTGATAGTCTTTTGGACTTGGTCCACAGTCGAATTAGTATTGCCAAAACTCGGATATAGCCCATGCTCACTGAATCTCGGTAGTGAGACTTTCTTGTCATTTGCTTTTACCAAGGTAACGAGAATGATACTGTTTATAACCTTTACATAGAATATGATTTCCCTCCAAGAAATAATTGATAAACGTAACCAAAAACAATGATGACTCAATAATACGA